CCCCCCCAGTTGAAAGGGGCGCTCCAGCCTTCACCCTGCTCGGGGAGAGGCCGAGCAGCTCCGGGCGCTGCTGGGGGTGACCGCGGTGCTTGTCCCCCAGCCCCCTGCCCCTGGGCGACTGCTGCTCACTTTGCTGTCAGCTCCTGCCCAAATGCAGCTTTGCACTTTACTTTTTTTTCCTCCCTCTAGACATTTCAAAACAGAGCTCCTAGGTGGCCGAGGCGGGGGAACGTCTAACCTCGCAGGGGGACAAGGGGAGAATAAACCTGCCAGCAGAGGGTATTCTGCTCAGCACATAAAAAAGCAGTGGGGACTTGGATCCAGCTGCCTGCCGGGAGGGTCTCCGGTCCCTCGCTGGCTGTGCAGACACCAGGGCGTGAGAGGCTGGGAATCGTTGCAGAAATCCCTTAAGCTATCCTTGTGCGGGGCAACCTCCGGATGCCCTCAGCATCCGACTCAGACGTGCTGTGATCCCTCCTGCATCATGATGCTACTGATGCTGTGGAAGAAGGGGAGTACCCAGGGTCTGACTTTCCCTCTGCTGCCTCCGTCACTGCAATCTCCCAACCTCTGTGGGTGACTGGGACCCGCTGCTGAGGTTTGAGGGCAGTTTTGAGTTGGGTCGAATGCTCCTTGAGCATGTTACTTTGTACTAAAAAACTCTGCTCAGATGAGAATCACAGGAACACCAGAACAGATCATGGCTATGGGGTATGTCTCGCTGCACCTGATCTGTAACAGTCGTCTCCAACCTGTGTAGCTATGAAAAGACCACAGCTGTTTCTCCAAACCCTTTCTGCTGGGGGGGTCTCGCTGGCATCCTCCCAGAGTGCGGTGGGAAAACGCAAACTTGTGCTTATTGAAGGGCTCCACTGGGAGCTTGTAGTTACCTGAGCCTAGGGGCACGGAAAGCCCCAGCACCTGCAGCCCGCTTGCTCAGCAGCTCCAGCAAGGGGCAGGCAGCACGATTTAGCAGCACGACTGGCAGAAGTTGTGTGTTCGTTTTTTGTTTTTTAACTCCCTTCTTGACATAATAGAAAACCAGTGCTCCCAGGCAAAATTACTCCAGGGTTAACAGCAAATGGTGATGTGTTTTGTTTTGTTTTTTTTAGAAAGTTTTTGCAAGTTTTTTCTACTGCGGGTTGGTTTGTTGTTTTCATGCAGGCTTGCTGCTGTGTTGGTGCCTAAGGGAGTAGAAGCGCTCAGACCCACGGAGTTCAAATTGTGAGCACTGGTGGGTGCACGCGGTGTGGCCAAACGCCTGGGCTCTCCTGACCCGTGCGTGGCTCTGCAGTGCCGGATGGGGGTTAGATGAAATTCTTGTTGTCAGTTGAGAAAGGGTCGGGAGTGCCCTGTGGCAGGGATGCGCTCAGGCTTGTTGTGGGTGATGTCTGCGAACAGTTAAAAGGTGAGACTTGTGGGCAGGAGGCACTTCTGTAAAATCTGAAATTCTGCTACGAGTGTGAAAACTTGTTAAATGGTTGCAAAATGTCCACTGCAGTGGTTCCAGATTGTAATGCAGAGAGGAAATGAAGCACTTAGGTAAGCAGCTTTCCAGAAGTGTAGAGCCTGGTCGTTGCAAAGATCTGTTAAAAACCCATTCAGATCATCTGCGCTTTCCTCATTTTCTTTATCTGAGTCATTTTGCCTGCTCTGGGCCTCAGCAGGCTGCAGAGCTGGTGCGTGCCCCTCTCTCTGTGCCGGAGGGCCATGGGAGATGGGTGTCCATGTCCCTGGGTAGCTGAGCACCATGGTATGGGTCACAGGATGTGTGATGGAGGGGAAATGCCAGGGACATCAGCGAACGCGCCTCAGGCTGTGTTTGTGCTGCCCCAGGGCAGGCAGCAAGGGTCTGAATCCGGGGGCGGAAGCTCCCTGGCACGTCTAGGGGCAGAGGGAGAGCCGTGGATGCTCCCCGCCACCTGCCCTTGCACCAGCCATGCTGGTGTAGTAGATGGGACATGCGCGCCATGGTCCTGGTGAGCCACAGCCAGGCCAGGTCCTGACGGAGTTTTCCAGGTGTTTTTGCTGCAGAGCAAGGTGGGGTGGAGGTGCTTTGGGATCCAGGGCCCAACAGAATCCCTTGCTCAGGGTTTGGGGAAAACCTTCTGTCCCTGGCCCCATGGCCCTGTGGTGGCAGCAGCCAGCTGATGTGAGCACTGCTGAGGGCTTAGCTGAGCCCTCCCCACTCCCACTGTGTTTCCCAGGCCCACGCAGGTCCTGGTACTTGGACTGGACCCCTTTTCTCTCCAGCCTCAGCCCGTGGAGGTGCAAGGTTTCTGCTCTCACTTTGCTTCTGCCCCTCCAGGATGCGCCAACTTCAGAAGAGCTGGAGCAGTTTGCCAAGGACCTCAAGCACAAGCGCATCATGTTGGGCTTCACGCAGGCTGATGTGGGGCTGGCTCTCGGCACTCTCTATGGTAAGAGCTGCTCTGGGTATCTCCTCCATACCCAGTGCCCTGCGTCACGGTGGGGAGGAGGGGAGGCCTGGCAGGCAATGGAGCAGCCTTGGGCGAAGGAGATTGCTGCTGCAGAGTGACCTACAAAGAAGCCGGTGAGCGCGAGTGTCCTGGACCCCTGGGGTTCTCTCCTCCTCCTTGCCATGTTTTAAGCACTTCCCTAAAGCTGGAAGGATTTGAGCCTGGTGTGAGCAGCAATAAACTGTTTAAAATAGCTACAGCTGCATTTTGAAGGGTGTTTTCAGTGCTAAAATAGCAGGGAAAATGCCCTTAGCAGATCCTTTGGTGCCAGAGGACAGGGCTTCTGGGGGCCTATTGGAGATCAGGGCTGCAGAGCTCTTTTCCCCAGGCAGGAGGTGTGGGGAGGCCCTGGCTCAGAGACAGGGAGCTGCGGGTAACCAGGGCCCTTGCCCGCCTTGTCTCCTCTGCCCAGGGAAGATGTTCAGCCAGACGACCATCTGCCGCTTCGAAGCCCTCCAGCTCAGCTTCAAGAACATGTGCAAGCTGAAGCCGCTACTGCAGCGCTGGCTCAACGAGGCGGAGAACACTGACAACATGCAAGAGGTGCAGGCCCAGGGGTCACCTTCCTCTCCTGGCGGGGGGCTATCCACAGGCCAATGAACCATCAAGCTACAGTTCCTCCTGCCTCGAAAAAGTGGTTTTGGGGAGAGGAGAGCAGCAGGCTTCCCCCGTCATAGTGGCAACTTTCTGTCCTTCTCGCAGCCATGGCTTCAGTCCCAGCTTGCCAAGCTGTGGGAGGGTACCGTATCTGTTGGTAACCAGGTGGCACCTTCTGCAAGGCTGGCAGGAGAGCAGAAGGGGCTTCTTCTGAGGGAAGTGAGCCAAAATTTCCAGCATATATCCCTTGCGACAGCTTTGGCAGCTCCCTTCTCAGAGCAGCCGAGTATTGCTGGAGCCTCAGATGCCAGCAAAAAAGATGCAGCTGATGTAAATGTACAGACATGCAAATGCAGAAAAATGTGTCTGTCTCCTTCTGTGCCACTCGCAGGCAAGTTGGTGGCACGGCCCTGGGCACAGTGGGATGAAGCTTGAGAGCAAATTCTTTCACTGCATCTCTCTAGAAAGCAACTGCTGTGAAGGAAGAGGCTGTGATGACAGCTATTCCCAGGGACCCGAGTCTGTCCCCATCCCTCCCCAGACCTTTGCATGCATCTCCAGAGGCTGGGAGGGACCTTGTCAGCCCTGGGCTGCAGTGTGACTGAATGCCATGGCCTCTCTTTTACTTTCCAGATGTGCAATGCAGAGCAAGTGTTGGCCCAAGCCCGGAAGAGAAAACGCAGGACCAGCATCGAGACCAATGTAAAGGGCACACTGGAGAGCTTCTTCCGCAAGTGCGTGAAGCCCAGCCCCCAGGAGATCTCCCAGATCGCCGAGGATCTCAACCTGGACAAAGATGTAGGTTTGGCAGGGTTCAGAGGGCAGGCAGGGGAGTCGATGCTCAGGCAGTAGTGATTCCTTGACACCGCCATCAGGCCAGATGAATGTTTTTATGTGGAAAACGGTGCTTCTATTTGCAGCACCCTGGTAGTTCACAGGGGGATGTTTGCTTTCTCAAGGGGACTAGGGCATGGAGGATGAAGGATGCTGCAACTGAATATAGCAGGGCACCTGGCACCTTGTGGAAGGTGGGACTGGGGAAGCTCGTGCCTCCCATCTCTCTTTGGATCAGTCTGACCACCTGGACATGTTCTCCACAGGGGTTCGGGTCACCTAGGATATGCTGCTCCTAGAAGCAGGGGATGGAGGAGGGTGCCCAATCTGAGGGACGGTGAGAGTCCCACCAGCGTGGGAGACAGAGTGCACAGCACTGAGAACATGCTGGGAGCGGGCTGCCCCAACATGGCTTAGGGGAGCTGTAAGAGGGAGGCCAGGTCTGGGTGGTTGCCCAGCCGCTTCCTAGTGTTCCTGTCCATCCTGATCCCCCAGGAGGAGCTGTGTCAGGGATGGAGCCATGCTGGAGGTCAGGATGCTGTGGGGCTGTGGAAATCCCGCTGTCAAAAGGCGGGATTTTTGTCTCTAGCCTGGAGTTTGAGCTTGCTGAGCTCATGCACTCTCCTCCCATCCTCACAGGTGGTCCGGGTCTGGTTCTGCAACCGGCGTCAGAAAGGCAAGCGGCTGCTGCTGCCCTTCGGCAACGAGGCGGAAGGGGTGATGTACGACATGAACCAGTCGCTGGTGCCCGCCGGCTTGCCCATCCCAGTGACGTCCCAGGGCTACAGCCTAGCCCCATCCCCTCCTGTCTACATGCCGCCATTCCACAAGGCCGAGATGTTCCCTCAAGCTCTGCAACCCGGGCTCTCCATGAGTAACAGCAGCCACTGAACCAGGGGCTGCAGGGGCGGTTTGGGAGCTGGATGAAGGCGTTTCCCAGACAGTGCGGCTCAGCTGGTTCCCTGGAGGCAGCTTCCTCCCCTTGCCCTGGAAAGGCACGTGGCTCTGGTCCCAGTCCCCAGGAGCCTGGCTGGGCAGTTGGCTGTTTTCTGGCTTTTTGTGCATGAGGGGCAGAGGAAGGGCCAGGAGCTGGGCACACAGGTGGTTCCCCACTCTCTGCAGTTGCTCCCAGCCCTTCCCAATTATGTGAATTTGCTGGTCCCAGCGCTCCCTCCTCCATCCCGTGCATGGGCTCAGTGTCCCCTCCTACCTTCCCTGGGGGGCAGCTACTCCTTCCTCACTTTGACCTCCCTATGCCAGATGTGCCCGGGGTGCAGAGTGAACGCCCCGTGCCCAGAGTGCTGAGCGGAGCCGCCTTTGCCTGTTCCCAGCTGAGCTGAGCTGCTCTCCTGCAAGAACCGTGAAAGAAGCATTTCCAAATTTGGGCGTGGGGGGGGGGGGGGGTTTTTTTTTT